CAAGTTCAAAGCATGGATCAGTCTTGATTTCTTTCTTGTTTACATGCAGCAAAGAACTAGAAACTAGGGCAGTGAACCGAATTCTTAAAGTGATATTCTCTCAAGGAAAAACCTATCATCACTCACTTGCATTGATGCAGCCTACATGAATATGCAACTAGACTCAATCCTAAAAATGAGAATGCAACTACATGAACATTTTTTTGTGAAATTTTTTTTGATTTTTTGATTTTTTTGGTTTTTTATATGCACTTAGATGAAACTACAGGAATGCATGCAAGAATGTGACTCAAGACTCAAAGTATAAAATAAGAACAGAGAAAACATGATTAGTGAAAAATGAAACTCCTCCCCCACACCTAAATAACACAGTCCCTTGTGTTATAAAAGCACGAGAAAGGAGTAAAACCAAAACAAACAAGTAAAATGCAAAGAGGAAAAGAAAATCTACATGCATATGTACAAGGTGTGGAGTGTTACCTAAGAGCTGTGGAAGTCGGACCCCAAGGAGTAAGAGGGGTTTGAAGTGTGACCGGATGGTGTCTCCCTGGAGTGAGGGCTTGCCTGATCAGATTGCGTCTTCAAGATCCACCCATGCTGTGCCATATGGGACCAGGGCCGTGCAGTTGGTGGAACTCTCTCCAACCTCTTCTCTGTTCCTTGGTGAAATTGGTGTTAGAGATCCACCTTTGCAAGGGTTTTCAAGCTTCTTGATCCTCTTCTTCATCTCCTTGATGCACTTTGCCATCTTGTGGATTGTTTTATCCTGGTACTTGCACCATTGTTGGAGAACACCGATCTTTTGTTGAGCTCTAAACCCTGAAGTGCCTGGCTCCTCCCAGTTGTAATCATCAAAGTGATATCTGTTTCCACCAAAACGTTTTTGAGGTGGAGGCAGACCATCATCTCCAGCACCAGCAGCACTTGTGGTAGCATCTTCAGCGGTTGCTTTCCTTTCCTTGGAAGCTTCTTTTCTACAAGCCTTCTTGTACTTAAGGATTGGGGGATCAGTTTGGACATTGTACAGCTCTTCCTTCAGCAAGTAGAAGTGAATGTTCCTCTTTACTTGGACTGTGGTGATGGAGGGATTGGGCAGGAGAGTTTGGACTGGCTCATCAATGAGAGACTTGAAGTCGTAAACCACCTTGGTTCCAACTCTTCCTTGAAGGAAACCGATCTTACACAAATGGGCTTCATTAATCAGGTCAAACCTTGCCTTGTTCTCCTTGAACCTGTACCCCCTTGCCTTCAAGATCTTTGTTACAACCCATCCATGGGCCAGCTTTGCATCCTTCTTTGTTGAACCCCAAATGCACTTTTGAGAACATCAAAGACCTTGCTAATTGAGAGGCAAGGCAGGGTGTGTAAGCATATCCTTCATAGGGCTTCCCATCTTCATAAGTTGGCATCAACTGTTTCAGCCCCACACCAAGGAGATTCAGATCACCCTTATGAACTTTCCCAACATCAAGCTTGAAGAAGAAGCTGTGAGAGAGGATCTTGTGGACATATCTCAGCACTGGATTCCTTATCCAAGAGGACTTAGCTGCTCCAGCTGTGTACTTCCCAGAAGCTATTGATCTCCATAGAGCCTGAATAACTTCCTTTCTAAGACCAATCTGGTTGGAGAGAGGAACGCTTTCAGGCGCAGAAAACCCAAATATCTCATTCAATTCCCTGAATGACACTATGTAGTCCTTTCCTTTCACAGTAAACTCCATGTATCCAAGACCATCCCCTTGAAGAATCCTTGAATCCCTTGGGTAGTACATAAAAGCATCAAAAGAAGCCAAGAACTCTTGAGACTCCTCTTCATATGAGGTCTCTCTCATCTCCAAAAGTGATTCAATGCCCATGTTCCCAAGCAAAGTTTTGACATCTTCATAGATGCCAATCTTCTTTAGAAAGTCCACATCAGGGAACCTCCCTTGCTGGATCCCCATCTGTTGAAACTTGGCCAGATAATCAGGTGTTTCTGGTTCAGTTTTCTTGATCCTCTTTGATGCCTCTTCAATGGTGCCTTGGAAACCTCCAGCTGAGCTGCTTGAGCCACTCTCAGTCTGTTCATCATCAGATACCACAGCCAATTGTTTCCCTTTCTTCTTGGAACCAGAAGCAACCACCAATGCTTTCTCTTCATGCCTTGTCCTTTTCAGCGCTTGTTCACCTTTCCCTTGCTTTGTTGCTTTTCTTGGTGCCTTGGCCTTTTCCTTTTGGCTGTGAAGACCCTGAGACCAAAACCTTGTCCTTGGATGCAGTTCCCTTCTTCTTGGCTAGAGAGTTGGTTCTTTCAGTCATCTGCCAATAAATTTCTCAAAAACAAGATGAGCACAAGATCAAGTTTCACAAAATTCTCCAAAATTTTGAAATAATTTGTTGCAAAAATTGATTTCCAAAGCACATGAACAAGTTTCTCAAGCCAAGCATCAGTCCAATGAGTTCATAGCAATGCAAAAACAAGAGTGCAAAGCAAGGACTCAGCAGGAAACAAGTTCATTTCTTTTCCAAGAAAAATCAATTTTTCATGAATTAACTTGCAACAATTTTCTAAACTCAAGAACAATGAATCACCAAGAAAGTGCTCTGTTTTCCATGACTATCTAGCACCCTAGCATTTATAAAAATAATCCCAAGGTCTAAAACAACCTATCAAAATCGATTCCACACTTTGATGTTCAAAAATCACCATTTAAGAACATGGAAAAAGATGAATTTTAACAGAGTGAATACCTTGGGATTATGATGCACACGAGTTCGAAATGCTACTAGGATGATGTTAACAACTCAAAAACGAGCTCAGAGCACTTTGAATCAACGAATTTGGTGGAGAAATGAGAGAGTTATGATGAAAACAATGGAGAGAAATGAGGTAAGAGAGCAAACTCGTGGTTTTGGTGAGGAAGAGAGAGTGTGGGACTAGGTTCAGCATTTGGACTGGTGGTCAATAGATCCACTTTGACCAGTCAAGGCTTGGTCCTGTCCTTTCCTCATTGACCGGACTCCTTTCTCTCCTTGTGCGGGCTGGAACTCCCGTGGCCGAGCCGCACGCCCATCTCGCTGTTAAGTGCTCCTTATGTGTGCAACTTGGGACTTCCTTTCTCTCATCCTGCAGGCCTATCTCACACATAAATCTCTTCTGCACGATCTCATCCTTCCTCTCATGCTGTGACCTGTCCCAACCTTCAGCTAAGCCGCATGACCCAATCGGTGTGAATTGCGCGTTAACGTGCGGCCTGGTCTTACGTGGGTCCAAGTCGAATGACCAGGTCGCACGATCTGACACGTAGACAATATCTATGCTCCTTCTCAATGTGCGGCCTGGTTCTTCTTCTGAACCCACTCGCATTCTCAGGTTGGTGCAATTTGCGAACGTTCGTGCGACCTGGGACTTCCTCGGTTTAAGCCGCACGCTTGACTCGCAGGCTTTGACACTTAGACGTGTCTGGGTTCTTCTTTTGGTGTGCGACCTGTCCCAATCTTCAGCTAAGCCGCATGCCTGAACCGGTTTAATTTGCGAACCCATCTACGTCCTGGTCTTTCCTTGATTCAAACCACACGCTCATGTCGCGTTCTTGATACTTGCACTTCCTAGGTCCTTCGTTTTGTATGCGGCCTGGGACCTTTACTAACCATCTCGCATGACCAACTCGGTGCAATTTGCGAGTGGTCGTGCGTCCTAGCCTTCTCGCATCCAATCCGCAGGACCAAGTCGCACGTCTATCACTTAGTCGCCACAGCTCCTTTCTCCTGGTGTGCGGCCTGGGCTTTCTTTAGTTCTTCTCGCACGCCCAGGCCGGTGTATATTGTGAGTATCAGTGTGGCCTGGTCCTCTCCTTTGCTGAGCCGCACGTCCATCTCGCACGCTCTGGTACTTAGGCATCTCGGCCTCTTTCCTTCTGTGCGACTTGGTTGGCTTTTGCACCATCTCGCAGCACCAAGCCGGTGTATATTGCGAAAGTCAGTGCGGCTTGGTCTCATGAGCTTCCAACTAGCAGACTCAACCCGCACATTTTTACACTTAGCCGTTTCTTGCTCAAATCTCTTGGTGCCAGGTGAATAACCCGCAGGCCCAAGTAGGACTAAATTGCGAGTTCTCGTGCGAGTTGGTCCATTGCCTGACTGAGCCGCACACCCATGTGCACACCGGCTTTCACCTGTTTCCAAACCTTAGACCTTCTTCTCAACTTTCTCAGATGCCCCAATTCACTTTGACGTGAGCCATGGCCTCCAAATGTCACCTGGAACCTGAGATCAACTCACAAAACCCATCAAAAAGTTCTAAAACATAAAAAGAAAGAAAAGAAAAGATCAAAAACATATTTACAAAGGATAAGCTTGGGGTGTCTCCCAAGAGCACTTTGTTTAAAGTCTCTAAGTTTGACTTTGAAAACCTGTTTAACAGGCTGGTGGTGGATCAAGAAGGGGAACTGATGTAGCTTCCTCCTTCCTTTGTGAAACTAGGTAGTGCTTGATCATTTGGCCATTGACCACAAACTGTTGACCATCCTTGCCCTCTAAAACAACAGCTCCATATGGCCTGACCTCAAGAACCTTAAAGGGACCAGACCATCTAGACTTAAGTTTTCCAGGAAACAACTAAAGCCTAGAGTTGAACAGCAACACCAGATCACCTTCCTTGAACTCCCGTTTCAGAATCTTTTGATCATGTAGACCTTTGGTCTTTTCCTTATAGATCTTGGAGCTCTCAAAAGCCCCCAGCCTGATCTCTTCAAGTTCATGGAGTTGAATTATCATTTTCTCTTGAGCTGTCTTGATATCAAAGTTTAGCAACTTCACAGCCCATAAATCCTTGTACTCCAGCTCAACAGGAAGGTGGCAGCTCTTCCCATATAGCAGATTGAAAGGAGATGTCCCAATTGGAGTCTTAAAGGCTGTTCTATAAGCCCACAATGCATCATCCAGCCTTTTGCTCCAATCTTTTCGCTTGAGCTAACAGTCCTCTCAAGAATGGCTTTAATCTGTCTATTAGATACTTCAACCTGGCCACTAGTTTCAGGATGATAAGGAGTAGCTACCTTATGTTTCACTCCATGCTTCTTCCGCAAACCTTCCAATTTTTTGTTCACAAAGTGAGACCCTCCATCAGAAATAACAACCCTGGGTACTCCAAATCTTGGGAAGATTATGTTCATCCCAATGGTACCTTTGGACATCTCTGAAGAACTTCTTTCTGTGGTAAGCATCAAGTTCAGGTGGTTCTACCCCACAAGCAAGAAAGTTCACAATATCAGCAAACCAGAGCATTCTCTTCTCTTGGATGCTATCCACTTCTTCAAACTCCAAATAAGAGTTGAGCACCATCAATGATTCCTCAGGAAGACTGTCATTAAGAGGGACTTCAGAGTCTACTCTTAACCTAGAGAGATGGTCTGCAGCTCCATTCTCTATACTCTTCTTGTCTTGTACTTCCATATCAAACTTCTGAAGTAAGAGGACCCATCTCAATAGTCTAGGCTTAACATCTTTCTTGGTCATCAGATACCTGAGGGCTGCATGATCAGTATATACAATGACTTTTGATCCCACCAGGTAGCTTCTGAATTTATCAAAAGCAAAGACTATTGCCAACATTTCCTTCTTCGTGGTAGCATACTTCTTTTGGGCAAAATCAAGGGTTCTACTGGCAAAGTAGATGACATGAAGCTTCCTGTCCTTCCTCTAGCCAAGTACAGCTCCAACTGCATAATCTGATGCATCAGTCATAACCTCAAAAGGAAGGGACCAGTCTGGAGCCTGGACAATGGGTGCACTGACTAATGCCTCCTTGATCATCTTGAAGACTTCTTCACACTCAGCATCAAAGATAAAGTCAACCTCTTTACACAACAGCCTTGTCAAGGGTCTGGCTATTCTTGAGAAATCTTTGATGAATCTTCTGTAAAACCCTGCATGCCCAAGGAAGCTCCTTATCCCTTTGACTGAAGTGGGAGCTTGCAGATTCACCATCACTTCCACTTTTGCTCTGTCAACCTCTATGCCCTTCTCAGAGATCTTATGCCCAAGTACAATCCCTTCCTGCACCATGAAGTGGCATTTCTCCCAATTTAACACCAGGTTATGCTGTTCACATCTCTCCAACACCTGTGACAAATTAGAGAGACAATCGGAGAAGGAGGAGCCATAGACAGAAAAATCATCCATGAACACCTCCACCTTCTCTTCAATGATGTCAGAAAATATATGCATCATGCAACGCTGGAATGTGGCAGGGGCGTTACAGAGACCAAAAGGCATGCGCCTGTATGCAAATGTGCCATAAGGGCAAGTAAATGTTGTCTTCTCTGGGTCTCTTGGATCTATGGGGATTTGAAAGAATCCAGAGTAGCCATCCAGAAAAAAAAAGAAGGGATGGTTTGCAAGCCTCTCTAGCATCTGATCAATAAAAGGCAAAGGAAAATGATCCTTCCTAGAGGCTGCATTGAGCTTTCTATAGGTTATACATATTCTGTGTCCAGTTATAGTTCTAGTAGCAATTAGCTCATCCTTCTCATTTCTTATTACTGTCATTCCCCCCTTTTTGGGCACCACATGGACTGGTGAAATCCATTTAGAGTCTGAGATTGGGTAAATTATCCCAGCCTCTAGGAGTTTGAGAATCTCTTTCTTCACTACCTCCTTTAAGTTGGGATTTAGGCGCCTTTGGTGCTCTATGGATGACATTGACTCTTCTTCTAAGTGAATCCTATGAGTGCATAGGGAGGGTGAGATACCCTTAATGTCATCCAGAGAGTAGCCAATGGCTCCCCTATGTTTCCTCAACTCTCCTAACAACCTATGCTCTTGGTCCTCTAACAGCATATCATTGATAATGACAGGATAAGAGTCATTGAGACCAAAGAAAGCATACCTGAGCCCCTTGGGAAGAGGTTTGAGTTCCAGCTGAGGTGCCTTAGACTCATCCCAATCAGCACTGAAGCTATCTTGCTCAAACAGCCTAGCATGCTCCTTCACCTTGGAACCCATGGCCATGACTGCTTGGACTGCTCCTTGGCTTGTGTCTGATCCTCTGATATCCAAGACCTCAGGGCCGCTTTGTTCCAGTTCCAAAAACCTTGTCTCAGGACCAAGTTCTCAGCATTGTCCAAATACAGCTTGTACCCTTCACTTTCTTCTGCTAAGAACCCATGGTCTCTTTGTTCTTGGGTTAAAGCAGCTTGAAGAGGATCATCAGTATTCAGTTCCTCAAGCAACTCATCAGCCAACTCATCCACTGTCTCCACATAGAAGCATTGACCTTCTATGGTGGGCTTCTTCATCATCTCATTCACATTAAACTTAAGCTTCTCAGACCCAAGTAGAAGCTCAATGATGCCACCTCTCACATCAATAATAGCTCCTGCTGTGGCCAATAATGGCCTGTCCAAGATAAGAGGATCAACTGGTTCCTCATCCATCTCTAGCACCACAAAATCAGTTGGAACCTCAAAATCACCTATCTTGACAGGCAGATCTTCCAACATCCCAACAGGTAACCTAACTGATCTGTCTGCAAGGACAAGAGAGATCCTTGCAGGTTTGAACACTCTAAAGCCAACCTTCTTTGCTATGGAGAATGGAATCAAGCTGACAGATGCTCCCAGATCACAGAGGCATCTAGAAAATAGCAGAGGCCCAATGGCACAAGGGAGTGTGAAACTCCCTGAATCAGTCAACTTTCTTGGAATGGACTTTTTCTGAATGATGGCACTGCATTCATTACTTAGTACCACCATTCCTTGAAGCTCTTTAGTCTTGTTCTGATGTGAGCATGGAAAGCATGGAGAGCTTGGAGCATGGAACTAAACCGCAGCTTGAACCCGTGGAGCTTGGAGCTGAAGATGATGAAGCATTGATCGTCCCCAATGGTCCCATGACAAGGTCTAGAGCAAAAGAGTTCAATAAAGTCATCAACAACCATCTACTTACCATTCAGGCCAGCCTTAGAAGTGAAGCTTGTCCAGCCACATTGGTTGTGATTCAAGCCGTCTAAGCGATGACAATGGAGGTGTGTGGACTTGTGCTCTTTTTCCCTCCTCTTGGTTTTGTTCCAATGGGTTTTCCAAGAGAGGTTTTTAACGAGGCTTGGCCACATACTTCTTACCTCAGCCCATTGTCATCATTCGGCCCTCTTCTCTTCTTGTTTCAATTTGAATTTCCTTAGTGTTATTTCTATCTTCTTTCTATTCAAACTTGGTCTTTATGTGCATGAATTTTCGAGGCATGTCTCTTAAATTCTATGCTTGACCGAAATGACTCTTCTCCTTCTTCCCCCTTCAATTTATATTCTGTACTTGACTCTTCATTCTACTTTCATCAAACTTCTTATTTCTAAAACTCTCTCTAGTTGTTTGATCCGAATAGTGTGTAATATCTATTCAACTTGATTCTTCTCTTGGTGTGTAATATCCTAGAAGAATTAAGCATCGAAAGTCTAAGGAACATCCGCAATCCTTAGAAGTTTCACTTCACCCCCATCGTTCAGATCATTCACCAAACCAAATCATCACTTCCGCATCACCAATTCAACCACACGAAGAGCATCAAGGGGCAGGACTCATTCATCACGATCAGGAGTCTATCAGGTGGTATCAGAGCTGCTTCGTGCAGGTTGTGTCGATCTGAATCAAAAAGATTTCGTTTGTGACTTTTCATTATCAATCAAAACGTTTTTGAGAAAACTGTGTTATTATCTGTTTCCGAGCACCAGGTTGTTAGAATTGTTTAAAATCGAATACTGATCCAAAAATCGTGAAACCAGTTGTGTTCGAACCTAGATTGAGTCTAGTTTCTGTTAAAATTGAAATCGGAATTTTTGGATGTGTTTTGATATTTTTCCCGAGTCCATTTCTCTGAACAGTCGCTAGTAGGTTCTTGTGGTAGTTGAAGAGTTATTCCTTTGTTTGATCCATTGTGTTGCGATTTCTTCCAAAGAACACTTGACTGGGGTTCTTTTGTGTTGATTTTCAGGATGGTAACGCCACCATTGGAAGAAGATGAAAGAGGAAGCAATAGCGTCAACCAAAAGCAAATGAATGAGACTATCGCAACCGAGGTAGCCAGATTAGTGGCTCAGCAGTTAGAGGCCTTTAAACTTGATCAGGAAAATTCGAGAAGAGCACGTAAGGAACGTGATAAGCAAAGTCAAGCAGATGCTAGCCATCACTCCGACTACTACAGTCATTCTTCTAAGACAAGTAGTCACCGACGAAGAAGAAGTGCTAGAGATGAGCGAGTGATTCCTAGGGATAATCTAGCTGGAGTGAAAGTTCGTATTCCTTCTTTCCAAGGCAGCAACGACCCTGAGGAGTATCTTGAATGGGAAAAGAAGATGGAACTCGTCTTCAGTTGTCATGAGTACACTGAAGAGAACAAAGTCAAAGTTGCACCTACCGAGTTCACCGGGTATGGACTAAGTTGGTGGGATCAGCTAACTCTCACTAGGAAGCGTGTAGGAGATTTTCCAGTAGAGACTTGGAATCAGATGAAGCATCTTATGAGGAAAATATTCGTGCCAAGTCACTATCATAGAGAGCTACACCATCGGCTGAGAAACTTGGTACAAGGCAATAGGACCGTTGAAGAGTATTTCAAGGAGATGGAAACTTTGTTGATAAGAGCTGATATTCAAGACGATCCAGAAGCCGCCATGTCTAGATTCATGGGAGGATTAAACCGAGATATTGCTGACAAATTGGAGGTTCAAAATTATGAGGAGCTAGAGGAAATGATGCACAAGGCAATTATGTTCGAAAAACAACTTAAAAGGAGAAGCTCCAAGTCGAGTTTTGTTCCGGAAAAATCTAGCTATCACCGAGAAGTGAAGTCTGGAACTTCAAGAGATTACAAGCTGTTTGTCAAGCCCAAGGTTGAGAGTGTGGATCTTAAAGGAAAAAGTACTAACGTTGCACCAAGGACAAGAGACATTAAGTGCTTTAAGTGTCACGGCATTGGACATTATGCTAGTGAATGCTCCAACAAGAGGGTTATGATCATCATGGCAAATGGGGAAGTTGAATCTGAAGATGAGAAGCCTAAGGAAAGACAACTTGAGGATGAATCATCGGAGGAAGAGTATGAATCAGCCGCTAAAGGACAAATGATGGTGGGAGTCGCCATGAGAGCTTTGAGTGTCATCACAAAATCTGATGAGCAAGAACAAAGAGAGAACTTGTTCCATACAAGGTGTCTGGTTAAGGATCAGATTTGCAGCGTGATCATTGACGGTGGAAGCTGTACAAACGTTGCTAGCGAGACTATGGTTGCGAGACTTGGGTTGCAAGTAATCAAGCATCCGAAACCATACAAGCTGCAGTGGCTGAATGAAAATGGCAAAATGGCTGTGGATAATCAAGTCAAGGTACCTCTATCAATTGGAAAATATGAGGATGAGGTCTTATGTGATATTTTGCCAATGGAAGCTAGCCATATACTGTTGGGAAGACCATGGCAATCGGATAGGCAGGTTATGCATGATGGTTTCACGAATCGGCATAAGTTTGAGTTCAAAGGAAGAAAAACCGTGTTGCTACCTATGACCCCTCATGAGGTTTACCAGGATCAGTTGGTCATGAAGATGGGTAGAAAGAAAGCTATCAAACCATCTAACCTTGCTATTGTGCCGAATATCCCAAAGGGAAGTGATCTCCATAAACCGAACTTACTTTTTGTTTATAAAGAAACGCTTATGAGTATCACTAACCCTGAGCAGGAAATCCCTAGCACTCTTAAACATGTATTACAGGAATATAGGGATGTGTTTCCTGAGGAGAATCCGGAGGGATTACCACCCATTAGAGGCATAGAACATCAAATCGATTTTATCCCGGGAGCCTCATTGCCAAACAAACCAGCTTATAGAACTAATCCCGTGGAGACTAAGGAACTAGAAAAGCAAGTCACGGAACTCATGAAGAAAGGACACATCCGTGAAAGCATGAGTCCATGTGCTGTGCCCGTACTACTAGTACCTAAAAAGGACGGAAGCTGGAGGATGTACGTCGATTGCAGAGCCATCAATAATATAACGGTTAAGTATCGCCATCCCATACCTAGATTAGATGATATGCTAGATGAGTTACATGGGTCTTGCATCTTTTCTAAGGTTGACTTAAAAAGCGGGTATCATCAAATTAGGATGAAGGAAGGGGATGAGTGGAAAACCGCATTTAAAACTAAGCAAGGGTTGTATGAATGGTTAGTGATGCCATTCGGGCTTACAAATGCACCTAGTACATTCATGCGATTAATGAACCATGTTCTTAGAGCATACATAGGGCATTTTGTGGTTGTTTACTTTGATGACATCTTAGTTTATAGCAAAAACTTAGAAGATCATGTTCAGCATTTGCGTAAGGTGTTAGATGTGCTTAGAACGGAGAAACTCTATGCCAACATGAACAAGTGTACTTTTGGAATGGATAACTTGGTCTTCCTAGGTTTTGTTGTGAGTGCAGATGGTGTTAAAGTGGATGAAGAGAAGGTAAAAGCAATTAAAGAATGGCCTAGTCCAACCTCTGTAGGAGAAGTGAGGAGCTTTCATAGACTTGCGGGATTTTACCGAAGATTCGTTAAGGACTTTAGCACCTTGGCTGCTCCGCTTACTGAAGTTATCAAGAAGGACGTTGGATTTAAGTGGGAAACGGCTCAAGAAGAAGCATTTCAAACCTTGAAAGAGAAACTTACTCAGGCTCCTATCCTTTCCCTACCTGATTTTGTTAAAACTTTTGAAATCAAATGTGATGCATCGGGTGTTGGTATTGGTGCTGTGTTGATGCAGGACAAGAAGCCTATAGCTTATTTAAGTGAAAAGCTAGGAGGAGCGACACTTAACTATCCAACCTACGACAAGGAACTCTACGCTTTGGTGAGGGCTTTACAAACGTGGCAACACTATCTCTGGCCAAAGGAGTTCGTGATCCACACCGACCATGAGTCTCTAAAACATCTCAAGGGACAACAAAAGCTTAACAAGAGGCATGCTCGGTGGGTAG